ACTGGGGACTTTAATATACCACTCACAACCCTAGACAGATCATCAGGACAAAAAATCAGCAAGGAGATCCGGAACCTCAATGATACTCTGGACCAAATGGACTTAATTGATACCTACAGAACACTCCATCCAAAGACCACAGAATACACATTCTACTCATCACCGCATGGAACATATTCTAAGATTGACCACATAATTGAACACAAATCAAGCATAAGCAAATTTAAAAGGACTGAAATCCTACCATGCACCTTCTCGGACACAGTGGAATAAAAATAAACATTGACACCAACAAAGTCCCCCCAAAACACACAAACACATGGACACTAAACAGCATGATGCTAAACAACTCCTGGGTCAATGATGACATCAAAACAGAGATCAAAAGATACCTGGAAACAAATGAAAATGAAGAAACATCTTACCAAAATCTCTGGGACACCTTAAAAGCTGTAATAAGAGGGGAATTTATATCCCTACAAACACACATGAGGAAAATAGAAGGAACAGAAATTCACAACCTAACAAGCCACCTAAAGAAACTGGAAAAGCAAGACCACAAAAACCCTAACTTCAGCAGAAGAACCCAGATCACCAAAATAAAAGCCCAAATCCAGGACATAGAAGACAAAAAGATAATAGAAAAAAATCAATGAAACAAAAAGCTGGTTCTTCGAAAGCATAAACAAGATCAATGGTCCCCTAGCTAGACTGACCAAGAAAAAACGAGAAAAAAACCAAATAAGCACAATCAGAAACACAAAAGATGAAGTCACATTTGACCCTGAAGAAATACAAAAGATCATTAGAGACTACTACGTACACTTGTATGGAAACAAACTTGAAAACCTTAAGGAAATGGAGGACTTTCTGACATCACACAACCTACCTAAGTTGGAACAAGAAGAAATTGAGACCCTAAATAAACCAATAACAATCAAGGAAATCGACTACGTAATAAGAAAACTTCCTACAAAAAAAAGCCCTGGACCAGATGGCTTTCCAGCAGAATTCTACAAGACATTTAAGGAGGAGCTGATACCAATCCTAATGAAGGTATTCCAGGCAATTGAAAAGATGGAACTCTCCCCAATCATTTTACGAAGCCAACATCACATTGATACCCAAGCCAGGTAAAG